TGTACCAAAAAGTACTTGGAGGAGGTATGTCATTACTCAAAAGCAATGATTGAGAACTCCTTTGCCCATGCCCGTGCAAAAGGTCACACCAGGACCAATCCCGTCCACAAAGAGGAGGAGGCTCGCCTGGTCCTTGATGACACCTTCGCCAAGTTGGACGAGAAAGGAGAGTCCCAGCGCCTTGAGAGCTCCGGTGGGTTCGAGGATCGGTTGAACTGTATTTGGACATAAACCTAACATGCATGTGATTGAAGCTGAATTATTCCCTTGGAACAGTTTTCTTTTTTGTGGAGGTTTATCCTTGCAAACTCCTGAAAGCGGTATTAGGGCTTGAAGGTCTCTTCCAGGGCTTTCACAGGTACCGTTTCGTGGGCAGGATGAAGATGGTGTCCTATTGGACTCAGCTATGGGTGAGTTCGATGATGGTGCCCTGGCGCCTGATTCCGCAGAAGGCGAGAAGGCTGCCGCAACTGCGGCCGCTGCAGCGGCCTCCAGCAGTGGGGGAGGAAGCAGGTGAGGGAAAGAACTGTGTGTGTAGTTGCGCGCACTATCAAACCTGAATATGTTTTAGCTTGGTGAGGTTCACGTTCCCTACGTTGCAGAAGAACGAGAGTGTATTCACCATCCTTCCTCAATACATCTCTGTCTTGGGGAGGAAGATAGACAATGCTCAACTGCAACAGGACTGTTTTGTTGGTTGGCTGGTATGCTGGATATAAACCACTTCGAGGTTAAACCATGTTAGACCTTATTAATATCAATCACAAACGCACTACAGGAGAAGTTGAGCAAGATGGGTGTTGATAGGGCAAAATCGAAGCCTGCTCGCATTACCCATTTGAGTCATTTGCCGGGAATATATTATTTTTTAGCCCTGCAATATGTATAAGGATGGCTAGCCAGCTGCAGTCGATCTTGGAGAGCATGAACAAGTCCTATGAAGACCTCAACAACAAACAGGCGGAATTCTTGACAGCAGATCCCGATCCAACCAGGCCCGCAAGACCCTTTTGTAATTGGATTGAACCACACCTCTTCATGACTTTGGAACTGCACCCTAGGTGGTAACAAGTTACTTGGCCTTTCAATCTACCCACTTTGGTTGTCAGGGGGTTGGAAGACAAGAAGCTGGCGGTCATGAAGCTATTCGCCACGTGCACAAAGGATGATGTCACGTTAAACAACCTCCTGACTCGCAGCAAGACCCTAGTTCAGCAACATATATGTCTAAGCAACGAGGAAGTGCCGACACATAGTCTAGTACCATTTGAGGTTTCCTGCCTTTGGCCACGCCCACCCAGGAATATCAAGCCTATGCCCAAGAATGCAGGGAAGGCTGATCGAGCCAAGCACCACAAAAGTGAGAAAGGATCACGAAAAAAGACAGCTGATGTGTCGAAGTCGAAGCCTGATAAGAAGGCTGATAGCAAGACTCGAAAGAAAGCCAAAAGTGCTGAGAACGAGTCATAGATTTGATTCCAGCATTTGTAACACCTCTGTGTGTTTGGGATGTGGTCAGGTGGGTTCATCGGTTCTGTAGATTCTATTTGTCATAGGAGGCTACAAGTACCAATATCATATACCAACTGAAAAAAGCTCTTCTCAACCGTGTTTGGATATTTGCCTGGCCACGTAGAAGTGGGGAAATCAGCCTGTGTGATTACACACATGCATCAAACATGCGTCTACTGGGAGAAACAATTGAGCACCTCTTCTTGAGTGCATGGTGTTCATCTCCTCCCAACTCCTCTGGGGAAGCACCCGCTTCCCCAATCATGCAGGCCTCCAATCCGTCTTTGCCCGTGCAGGCCTGCAAGCTCTGATGGATGAAGATCACGCTCCAGGCCTTGGTGTGCCATGGTTGGGGTAGAATCCACTGGCACTGCTGGGAGGTGATGGTTCTTCGGATGACCTTTCCGACCTAGCTGACGAGTTTCTACATCAGGCTTCGGAAGGGGCTACTTGGTGATGAGGCAATTCCAAAGATTGATGCATACCAAGCCGAAGCTATTTATGAGGTACTAGACTTATATAAGTCATAGAAGTGCTGCCCAGGCTACATCTGCAACGGCTGTGATACGCATGTGTCACAAATCTTCGAAGAAAATGGCCAACTTAGGTGGGCGCAATTGCTGCACTTCCATTGCATGCGCATGCGTCAATATTTTGTAAAACTCTCTTTGTTATGTTTGGCAGGTGTTGTGGACCCGGAAGTGGAGAAGTTGGCACGATATTGGAGGTCTGCTTCGGGAAGAGTGGGCAAGAACTCATCCCGAGACTTTTACCGCTACATCCACCGAGACAACAAAGTTTTCCATGTGGACATTTCCCGGACAAGGTTGCCAATCAAAAGAAAGAAGCCTAACAAAAGTGGACGACCAATCAACATGGAGTTGGAGGTTGACTATCCTGTTCTCCATCTATCTTCATGGATGAAGAGCATACTCCCCAGTCACCCTGGTTTCTTTCTTGGTGGGCATTCCCTTGGCAACTTCGACCAGTGGGGTGACATGTTTGAACGCTATTGGGACCGCTTTGCTGAAGCAGAAGAGTGGCATCCTGCTTTGAACAAATCTCGATTGGACAGACGCAGAACAATTCCAATTGCACTCCATGGGGATGAAGGCCGGGGCCTGGCAAGGGTCCCCCTTCTAGTTCAGAGCTTTCAAGTGGTCATCCCGCACAATGGCCCTGATGTACTGAACATCAAGAAGTATTTCGCTTGGACAATTCAGGATAGTGTTTTGCTTATTATACTTTTTTAGTGAGGCTCTTCTGCGACGCCTTCCAATGAATTGGCCTGTTGCCTAGGCATTCTTTCACAACAAGATTGCTGTTCTCTCTGATGCCATCTTCTTGGTATGCCAAGGGGGAGCGTAGCACTGATGGCCTCAACAAGTCCATGGCAGAAGATTTGATCAAACTGTTTCATGAAGGTGTTCAAGTAGCAGTTGATGCCCCTTAGCTGTGGAGACTGAGTTGTTATGTAACCAAAAAAGGTTTCCTGGTATAGCACAAGTGTTGGTAGTTCATGTATGCTAAGGATGAGGGTCATACAACTACTTTGTTCGTGGCCGTTGTGGCCATCAAAGGCGATTGGCCCTGGCTGAGAAAGAGCATGAAACTGCAGACTGGTTTCAGCTCCAAGCGGATCTGCCACATATGCCCGGGAGATGTGCCCTTCCATGAACTGCTTGATTTGCTTTGTATCGAATGATATATCTGATGTTTTTCCCCCTGTTGACTGACCCAGGTATGGTGGGATGTGCGAGCAACCTCTCAAGCACGAACATGGTCGGGGCCAAGCCCAAATCCTTTCAAGGATGAAGTGGCTCACCTGAGGTTGATCCCTGGATGCTATGACCCTGAAATCATCAAGATTGACATCCTCCACACTTGGAACTTGGGCATTGGTGGGGACCTTGCCTCCAGTAGTTTGATGTCTCTTGCGCAAATGAAACTATGGGGGGGGCGAAGCATCCAGGCTAGGTTGGACGTAGCCTATGAATCCTTTTCTGCCTGGTGTGCGATGAATGGCAAGACCGCCAACATTAAGAGCTTTGAGCTTGGAAAGTTCAAAATGGTAACGTTCCTGGTCCTAATTACCGGTCGACCACAGAATTGTGGCAAATGTTTTTTGTTTCTGTGTTTCATTGCACGTGAACAGTCTCTGTGGAAGCTTTAGGCTTCGGGACTATCCTCAAGGCGTGTCAAAAGCCTATGATGTTGGGCTTTTGTGCAAATGGCTGGGTGAATTTGTACATGGCAGTGACACAAGAAGATTAGTATCATGGTTGCGTTGGGATTGGAGCCTGAGATTGTTACACGTTCCTTTGTACACAATACCTGCAGGTGTGTTTGATATGTGTTTCCCAGGCTCAGTGCGACAAGGAGTTTGTGGAGGTCTTGCAATGGACGTTGGATGCAGCAAACAACTTGTTCAGGTCGATCTACCATGAAGGCATTTGGGTCCCACGTGCAACTGCAAAAGCTGCAGTAGTCAATGGCTACAAAGCAGCGGATACTTAGTAAGGAAATTATACTTGTGACACTCAGTACTGACCTAGCTAGACCCCTTCATTGGATTCATGCTGAGGAGGGCTACGCAGCTTTGGCTTCCATGTCCCATGAACGATCCTGGAAAAAGTTCCGGTTGCGGCCAAAACTGCATATGTTTGCGCACGTGATGTGACTTAGATTATTTTAAGAGTGCATGTGCATCCACATGTCAATCGATGCAAAGCTCCCCCAGCTAAGTCGACTGATGGATGATCGTGTCTCCAAAAATGTGGGCTTCATCCAAAATCCTGTTTGCACCTGGGCCCAAATGTTGCTGCTTAAGAAGGTTTTGAATATGAGCACTTTTTGGTTGTGACACGGAGGTTGGAGCTGCTGGTCTGATGAAGACTATGTAGGAAAGATATCGCGTTTAGCGCGAAGATGTAACGCTAATTCACTTGTTGCGCTTCGTGTCATATCTCGCAGTTTGATGTCTTACAAAAGACATTTTGACAAGATGTCCCGATGACTCTGGGCTTCCACGCAGAGAAAAGGAGACTCTCTGTCAACAGCTTGAAGTGTGTGTGCATGAATGCATGCATCAGTGTGCCCTGAGGCTGGTGGAGGGAATGGGAGAAAGGTCTCGTCCTTTTTTTACTAAAACGAGCTCTTTTTTGGAAACGCCCCTAAATCATCAACACGAGCAGAAAAAACTCGTAGCAGAAAAAAAAGTAGCATTGGAAGGCCCAGGTTGATATAACTCTTTGTGGCACTTGTGTTATAGTAGACATCCCCAGTTCAGCATCCTCAACTGCAAATGTTTATAGCTTCTGTGCACCACATACAAGAGGTTTCGCCCGTTTACCTCTTCAGGGTGTGACCCACTAGTCACAGTTGATATATGTTGATACTGCATAAAAGATGATCACTCTTAATTTTAATTGAGATGTCGCCCTGCAACCCAGCCATCATCCACTGGGCAAAAGCCCGCGTGACCCAAGGTGGTGATCAAGTTGCAAGGTGCCGTCTCCGAGTCCTACTGCCACTGCGACAGTGGCAGCTTCCTGTGGGAAGGCCACTGCGAGGCGGGGCGCCGCCCAGCTTGGACGGTGGGACATGGCTGGAGGCGGTGAACCATCCAAAGCTCAACCGCCAATACGACCCGTTGATCTCGTAGAGTCGTTGCGGAACGAACCCGTTGGTTACAGGTGTTGTGTTCCGAGTTCCCAGAGCCGCAGCAGCTGCGTACGCGGTGTGTATCGGTGTGTGTTCTTTATACCCCATACACGACCTGTCTGGGACTGCCACAGGACTGCCGATCAGGCCAGGGGTGGTGCCAGGGGGTCTGGCTTGATCGGCAGTCCTATGGCAGTCCCAGACAGGTCGTGTGGTACCAATTCCTTCGGTGCTTTGGAGCGAACGGTGTGGGAAGTTCTTAGGTTCGATATGGGCGGTGTTCAACGACGATGCACATGGAACACGAAAACCCAAACAAGCTGTTCTTCTATGGGAAGAACCCTGGGAAATCGATGGGGAGCTGTGTTTCAGAGAAGTTTCTGCTGTCCAAGAAAGAGTCAATATGCATAGAATACGGTGAGCCCAGATATATCCAGAGAAGTGGCCTCCCCACATCAAGTGAATGCACCGTTGATGGGACAACACAAAACTACTCGATAGAACCGAATCTTGAAGTATTTATTATTGCATCATTTTCAGTTGATTTGCGGCAGGACGATTGACCTGAAAGGTGAACCATATTTTGAGGGTGCGGAGAATAAACGGATCTTGTCTGTAGCTATGATATGCTATGATCTCAAGGCAAGTGGATCCATTTCTTCGGCTTCTTGGATCCCCTCCATCACGCGATCGATACTGCCTAGGGGGCCTAGAGATACAACCTGCCAAGTGCATCCAAGTCTCTATATATAGGCCTAACATAGGCCGTATGTAAGGAGGATTGTTGGGAGTAGTCCCAGGGGATAGTTGGTGAAGTCTTAGAACATTTTAGAGCTATTCAACTGATGCTTATACGTTTTTTTGGGGGATCCCGATGTGCCTTAGGACCTTAGGGCAAGATTTGGCCTGAGGGGGCATCACTGGCATCACCTGTAGGTTTGCATGGAGGGTGCCAGCTGTTTGGGTGCCAACCGCTTGGAGCTGTCACTCGGATTCACTCGGGCACACGGCGCGTGTTCTTTATTCGTTGACACTGGGGTGATCGCAATGTCGAATGGTCGAAATGGCATTTGGAGAAAGTCGCCTCCCTAGTTGTTTGGATGGATGCTACTAGCCAATTCTGGCCACCCTGGGTCGTTGGGCAGGTTGCTCCCAACAAAATCTACTGCGGCTTCGGTTTCGCGGCTTTTGGGGATGGAAGAGGTTGAATCTACAGGGTGGATTTGGATCGGTTTTGGTTTGGGACCACCCATTGCTGGTCCAAGACCTACACGACCACCCATTGGCGTTTTCGCTTTTACGTCCAGACAGGCCGTGTTCCGACGGCGGCCGACGGCGTTGGGAAGTGCGTCTTGCTTTGCAGATTTGGATTTCCTATTTGCAGATTCTCATCAACCTCGCTCCAGCTGAGGTTGCCGGGTTTCTTCTCAAGGGAAGAAGCGCCGGGCGATGTCTACAACTGCTTCGATGAACGGCTTTGCCCAGGCCGTGGCGCCTGGCAGTGCCGTCGACGGCGTTTGGTTTTCGTTCGTGGGTGACTTGGGAGTGTTTCATGCCATGCTCAGGCATTCTCAGGGGCGATGACGTCCGCGGCTGTCCCGCATGCACACGCTCTGTTGGGGTGAAGAGTCTAGGAGCTTCTTTGGATGGGGTAGGAGAGTTGTTATATAAGTAACCTCATGTTAGTCCTCTCTACCTATATTTTATATATCAATCTATCCATCCATCCATCCATCCATCCATCCATCCATCCATCCATCCATCCATCCAT